CCGCCACCACCGCCACCCCCGCCACCACCGCCACCACCACCACCACCACCACCACCACCACCACCACCACGATCACCACCATCGCCAACACCCCTGCATCACGATGATCATCGTCGTCGTCGTCCTCCTCCTCCTCCTCCTCCTCTGCCGCCTCCTCCTCCTCATCCCCATCTTTATCTTCAGCATCTTCTTCTTCATCTTCATCTCCATCTTCAGCCTCGTCTTCATCTTCATTTCCATATTCATCATCGTCATCATCATCATCATCATCATCAACACCATCATCTTCAACATCAACACCAACATCAGCATCAGCATCAGCATCATCGGCATCATCATCGCTGCTATTATGATCCTCACTGCCCTCCTCCTCCTTTGCCTTTGCTGCTCCATATTCATGGTCATGCCCATCGGCACCATCGAACACCATGATGCGATGTTTCGCTGTTGTCGTTTCTGCGGTGGAGATCCTCAAACAGCCTTTCTGGGGATGTCTGCCTGGAGCCTCTCGGAGGCTCGCCGGGGTCTCGCCGCCGCACTGCGCAGCTGGCGCCGAAGCTCTGCAGAGCTGGCGGCCGTGTGAGCGGCCGACAAAGAGCTCCTGGATAGAGGGTTGGAGGGGGCGTGCGGTAATCATCTAAGCTGCAGGCGCAGGCAGGACTCGGGACCGACGTTTATGCTGCTTGAGGGTATTATTATTATGTATAGGTGCAGGATGTGGGAGGCACCGGACGGTGGTTGGTGGTGACACCTGGGAAGTTGACGGTGTCAAGATTCTGGCTTTCATGCCAATCTACAAGTTTTGACCAGTGTCTCCTAAGTAATCAGCAGTATCGAGCAGTGTTCACTCAGGCATCCTTGTCTAAGCTTATAGATTTCCGAGGTGTTGCACAATTGCTGAACACTTGAAGGCTCTAGGGTTTCGCACTTTCCCGGAACATCTGGTTTAAACAAAATGTAGCCTTGAGAGAGAGGATTTGGGATTTTGTAGGAAACAGAGAGAGCACCACGCACGCAGGCAGATGCGGCCTCGCTTCGGACAGCAGCGGAGTACGGCATGAGCCCCAGCAGTTCCCGCCCGGGCGGTCTTTGGGTTTCGGAGGTTTGGGTCTAGAGTCTAGGGTTTGGGGTGGTATGCCCTTACAGTGTTCGGTCTTTAGGACTTCTGTGCAGGGTGGGGCTGGCCTTGTGGTGGGACTGCAAGTTCGAAGTCTACACACAGCTGCCACTTGCGGGGTCGTGCGGGTTGCAGGAGTTGAGCCCGAATCCGGAATCCGGAACCACATGTCTAAGACTCTCAGGCCTTGACAAAGACGCTCCCATGCAGCTCCTCCATGCGGCCGGGGGTCTCGGGCTTCAGAGCTCTGGGGTGGAAGTCGCAAGGATGCTGTCATGCAGTTCCGGAGCCCAGGAACCGCAAAGTGCAAGCAGCAGCAACGTCCAATTCCTGTAATCCCAGTTTGTCCGAAGCCCGACCCTGCCAGGAAATTAGTTCGTCCGGGCTTCCCGCGACTTCAAAACACGTGGGAGTCAGATGACCCTCTGCATTCATTGGTCATGAACTATTCATGATACGAGCTATCTAGAGACCATCGGTGCGGCAGAGTATGCATTTTTGAGGGCGGTCGTGTTGCAGCTAGGCCTATCCTGTTCCTTGCACACGGTCTTGAACACCCGAAACCCATGTGTCAACGCAAAAGCCTTGGTCCGAAACCCTGACCGTGGGCCCTTGCCAACGCTCCCTGAAGACCAGGCCGCAGAAGCCGATGCCGCGGAGGCAGCGAAGGCAGCGAGACTAGAATAGCAAAGGCAGCAGTAGTTCCCTCAATTCATCCTGTAACGAAGGTGAGTTGCTATACAACCAGCAACCATAGCAATGGCCGGCAATAGCAAGGGCGCGGATGCGTACGGAGTCTTAATATGTGTTAATCACTGTAGCACGAGCAAGAGCAATAATGTCAATATTCACGACCATCTGGTTGAAACTGGTATGCACACGGACAAGGGGAGCAAAGATCACCAGGTGCTGGTACTTCTCGGAGATTCCAAGGATGGCGAGCAGCCCCATGCTGAGCATCCTTGCAGGTGCTGCTGACATAGTAGATGTTGTGACACAAACGGAAGCAATGGAGTTCTGGCGATGCTTGGGTGTCCTTTGTTGCACTAATGGGTCACGTATGCGGATCCCTGCTGAGGAATCCCGAAATGAATAAGTACCAACAGTGTCGCTCCTACCCGTGAACATGGTAGAAGCAATTGTCCCTGTCGTTCCCCTTTTGATGAAGCTGCGAGTTCGGGAAGCGCCGGGGACACGGTGGACGTGCTCGACAGACATGGCCGGTGCCTCCGGGCCGGGAGACAGTTCAGAACTCCCGGGTTCCAAGACTTGCGAAGGGGAGCCGTGGTGTTTTGGGGGGATGTCAGGTGGTCTCGATCTGAATGTCGAGTTGAGCCGTGGAGTTGGCAGACCTGCTTTGACGGCCTCCGAAGCGTTTGGTTTTGTCTAATGTTTGGATCAAGACTTTGTTCGGGATGGCCAAGCACCCCCAACGGCCACCAAGTCTTTTCCAAGCAGATCGAAGTCTAGGAGCAGAGCTTGATTTCAAGCTGAACCAACTACAAGACCAGGCTTTAGCCTCTTTTGTGACAGACTTGGCCTCAAAGAGCGAAATTAGAACAGAGGATCTCATAGCGACCTGGGAGCTGCAGGAAGTTTGGAAGGGGTCGCTTGCTAGGATTTCTTATATGTCTGCTTCCAGTTGGTCTGAGATGCAAGGTCTGCTCTTCGGAGCAGACGGCGCCCTACAGAGATCTGAACAAAAACCCGATCCCGAAATGCGAGCCCCAAGATTGAAGCCGTACCGCTAGTCGATTGTTCATGGCAGGATCTGAACAGCAGGCTGGGATAAGAATGCATGCTAGGCGTAGCACCACCTAAACGATTTGTCGGAGCGATTTGATGGGATGGAGATGCTGCCACTGTAGATCTGCACAATGCTGTCCTAACCTGGTGCTCCGACTGTAGTTGTGACCTTCGTCGATGGTTGGAGCTTTGGCTCGGAATACAAAGACATGATTGGACACATGTCGACGGATGAACAGCTCCATGTGCTAGCCTAACACGGACTACTACTCAAGGAGGGGCAGACAGAGCCGAGGACCCAAGCAATTCATTGCGGGTCGGCGCTCTCTGGTCAACCATAGGCCCCAGACGCGGAACACGACTTTGCCAACAACCCCCGTGAATCCCTTTCTGCTCTGAATACCACTATAAAAAACACTTATACTCAGCAAAATCACCTTCATGGCCCATCGTAGTAGTCCTAAGCAGGGCCCCCCTGCACGACACCAGATTTCCTGGCGCAGGCATATCATATGTCTTAGGAGGTTAGGACTTATCCAGCCCCCTCGACGGGTCGTGTGATGCAGCCGTCGACGTGCTACACACTTCATGACGCCTACGATCAGCAAGCTGCCTCGACGCCAGACGCCATCGCGGTTGTCGGTTGCTTGCCCTTTATCAGTTTAAAGTTGAGGCGTCATCCTTCCGTGATGTTTGAGTCAGTAAGCTGTTCAATAGTCTTCCCAGACTGTCGTTTGGCTTTGTTAGTCGACGGGGGTTGACAGGATTGAGACTACGATCGAGTTCCAGCGAGAAAAATGCGTGGTCGTCGTAGCGGCAGTGGCAGTGGTGCTAGTAGCAGCAGCGGCATCAGTGGGTGATATTCGGTTGGCCCTTTCCTGACCCTAAACCCTAACCGACCCTAACCCCTAAACCGTGAACTTGTATTACTCTGTTTGGGCTGTGTGAGTCGTCAGCATTGGCTGTGATACTGCGGAGATCGAACCATGAGGAGCCTTGCCTGCGTGTGCGAGTGTGAGAGTCGAAACCCTGAACCTTAAGGCTAAACTTGCTACTCGTACCATGACTCTCGAGGCTGGGGTCGGTGCCGTTTCCAGCTGACCTATGGCGAGGCGCTCTGCGACTTGATTTTTGCCTGGAGTCTTAGTGGCTGCAGTTTCAGCTAGGCCCGTTTTAAGATAGGATGGCTTAGGGTTCATTGAGCCACGTCGCGAAAAGATCTTCTTCGGACGACTTGATGCGTGCCGATGACTTTGCCTTTGCCGCAGGTTTCGGCGAAGTCGAAAGCACTGGCTTCCACACTGTCCAAGATTCGACATAGAGAGGACCCTTGGCGGCATCAAGTTGCATATGAGACAGGTCTGAACCCTAAGCCCCTAAGTCATTGCGGATGTGAGCTTGGACTGTGTGGAGCCTTGCCTGCCTTGTGCGTGCGAGTGTGAGAGTCGAAACGAAGTGGGCCTGCTTTCACGATGCTGTAAGGCATGATAACATGTTCAGACGTTTTCGAATTTGGAGATCACTGAGTGTTGTGCCTGTCTTGCGTCTTGCCTCCGGGTCTTGCCAGCAAACCGCGTTTGTTGGCATTGTTCCCTAGCCATGCGAGAGGGGAGAAACCTTGAACGCTAAACCCTAAACCCTCGACGGCGTGCAGTCTGAATCGTCGGTGGGACGGCTGACGAAGCGTGTTGCCAGACCTCCACAATCAGATTCCTCGTCTTACATTCTGGCAAGGCGTGATCCTGCACGGCCGCGGCTTTGTTTCGTGTTGGAGAGCCGCTGACTTTGCTAGACGTGCTCGGCCACCAGGTCCCGAATATCTCAACCTTACCAGTCTGAGCCTTGAATGCCGAAACCTCAGATAGGTGCACACCCTTCCCGCCACGCAGTCCTACTGCCCAGCCCCAGATCCCTCTTCCCTAGACTCCCCAAATTCTGCTGAACACTGCACCCTGCCCTGTCTTCCGAGGAGAGTGGTGGTGCTGCCTCGGTGAACTCGACGGCCTCTTGGACTTTCCCTGCTTCAGGGTCGGCAAGCCCACGGGAGCCACTGTTAATGCTTCATGTAGGTGCATACATACATACATACATACATGCATACATACATACATACATACATACATACATGCAATTGCACATACGTGTCTATGTGCAAACGTATGTATGTATGTATGTATGTATGTATGTATGTATGCATGTATGTATGTATGTGCTATGCACGTGTAGGCCAATCTTTCTGACGACCACGACTCACGACTAGGACCACCGCTTCTACTGTTGCTACTCGCACTCCCACTCCTGCTGCCGCCGCAGCCGCTGGTTTGCAGGGGGGAGACTATTCCCACTGCTGCTGACTTCCAAGGTAGTCGCCATCCACCACTCACGGGAGGCCTTGCAGTCGCTTTAGGATTTCGGAGTGAAGGTTGTCGAGTTTTTTGGGTGCCCCTGCAGAAGCATTGCCTTCGTCTCAGGTCTTAGGATGTCGTAATGCTAACTCTCCAGCAACTCCTTTCGACTTCGAGCCGTTTGGTGTCAGATCGTCGACGATGTATCCTAGAATGCGCCATGTTTGCGAGTCTGTTCCAGTTCGCCTAAGGGCTGGCAGACGGGTTTGTTGCAAGCTCAAGGCTTCCCACAGTGAAGTGTTGCAGACGACATTTCTCATTCTGGCCATTCCTGGCCTAAACCCTGAACCATTGGAGCTCAAGTCTCTCAATCTACTGTAGGTCGTTTAGGTGCTTAGGTTTCCGGAGCTTGACCCACAAGACAGTACTCATGGCTGGGCAGTAAGGGCAGCAGTCGAGTCCCTTGTGAAAAAAAGGTTTCCGGAGCTGGCGGAGTGAGCCCGAAACCCTAGGAAAAATAATGGATCAGGATCCCGACTTCCTCCCCACGCTGCTGGCCGCGAGCCGCTGTGGGCAGCGTTTTGCTGTCCTGCCGCGGTTTGCATGGGCTCAGCCCTGGAGGGCTTTCTGGGTGAAGTTTTCTTGCTGTAGGATTTGGGGGGGGGGGGGGGNNCCAGGGTGTTTGAAAAGAAACCATGGGATCCGTGCCTGCGGCTATGTTGCGACACGCACACACTGGATGCCCTCGAGCCCTGCAACAAGCCCCCACCCTCCCTCCCCGGCCACCGGAGCATCGAGCGAGGGCGAGCTGCCAGGTATTGCTGAGCCGGGATCTCAGCGACGAGAAGTGCCCAAGCCGCCCTAGTCAGTCCTGGGGAGGGTCGAGTTGCCCATACCTCCTGCAGTTTGAACGTCCGCGTGCGTTGCCATGCGCATTCATGAGGAACACTCGCCCAATCCACCTCCGAGTTTCAACAGGGCAGGCAGACAGGTGTTGGGGCTTGGCTCGACTCAACTGGGCCATCCTTGTGGCCAATTCGACACAGTCCTGCTCAGAGGTTTAGGGAGCAGTACCGAGAGTGGTGCCTGGCAACCTGGTATATATGATATCGGGTTCCCAAGTCGAGACGACAGTCTTCGTCTATAGCAACATATACCAGTTTACGGAAGAAGCCAGGGATCCACCACATGTCTCCAACTGGAAGCTTCAGGCTCCAACGATCTCGGATGCTTGGCCAGGACTTAGTTTGGCAGGGCCTGGAGATGAGGCAATCATTGGCCACTCATTGTGGTACTGTTTTCAGCTTTGGGGCCAAAGGCCAAAACCAAGCTTTCGGACTCCGCATCATGACCTGTTTGACTGGCAGACAGTGACCTGGAATGAAGGAGGCAAGAGGCTCCACACCCTTGCCTGCATCAATCAGTGAGCACCGGCCTGTGAAGCAAAGACGCCCTCTCACCTGTGACGAGGTTCAAGGCATTCCAAGCCCGCAAGCTCCGCAAGGAACGATTTCGTGCTGCATGCTCTTCGACCTTGGCTGGTCATCGGCGGAGATAGCAATGGCGAGGCATCAAGAGGTTAAATAGTGCGTCCCCATAGCAATGAGCGCTTTGCACGCTCTTTTCTTCGATGCCCAGTTTGGGATGCCAGATTTTGAACCGATCTTCTGCCCCAGGCGCACTGCTCTGTGCCTCGACTGGCGGGGTGCCCAGCTCCGCTGAGGGAGGGTTCAGGGGCTGCTTAATTCGTGGGATCGCGTGAGCGCAGGCCTGAACCTGGCCTGCATCAAGGGATTTTTTTCCTGTCAGCAGGCGGGAGGTTTGCTACGATGCTTGAGGCTATCATGTGGACTTCAGACTGTCATGTGCGACCAGAATTTCCTGGAGAGACTTGCGCCAGCCCGCACCGGCCAGCAGGCTGCAACCATCAGCTTCAGGCACTTAGCGCGACCTCAACTTGCCATTCAGCCTCGAAGCTCCAAAGCATAACGAAGGTTCAGATCAGGGTTTACCACTTGTGGGGGCGGCATCTCTGGCGAACATCAATAGTAACCTGCAACAACATACCGCCGATGAACTCCAGTGATGTCCTAGGCTAGGGCCCTGAGCCCTAAGAGTCCTCCCCTGGCCTGAGAAGCCTGGAGGAGGAGCCCCGCGGAGATCTGCTCAACGGCGACGGCACCTGGGCAGCTGCTTCAAGTTGTCGAGTTTTTGCTGTGTTCCGCCAAATATGGGGTATGCTCGTCGTAGATGCCGTGTCGAAATGTCTTCCCCTGGCCGACACAAAACACCAAACACCTCCTACATCAGACTACTGCGCGGCCGCCGACCCCTCGGACGTGGTTGGCTTCATTTTTACCGGCGGCACAGTGCGGACGAAGATCGTCGAGGTGACGCACAGGACACGGCATGCGGAAGCGGGGCTTGAGGAACACCAGGCTCATCCAATAGTTCTCAGGTACCTCAGATATCATCGTCTGTCGTCACCACACGTGTGGCTAATATGGCGTACGATGGTTATAAAGTCATTGTTGATTGATTACGGCATATTACGGCTACTGTTGTTTTGCGAGCACAAGTTGGAGCTTGATGTGGGCTGGGCTTGAAATCCCAAGGGCGAAACCTTAATTGAAGCGCTTCTGCGTGCCTCAGCTCGGCTCGGTTCGGCGAGCCAGCCGGGATCTAAAATGCAAAGGCCGTCTGAGAATCTCGCAAATGCAGACTCAGACGACCATGATGAATACCAGAGGACACTGGATCAACAAGAGATGTCAACCGACATACGGACATGGACAGAGCTGCATGCTCTATTGCAAAGAGTTTAACGCCTTGGGTGGTTTCGGAGTAGTTGGCAATGCAGGATGTAGTTGGCCGCACTAGTGCCAGAAATATTGGCACAGTAGTCGAAACAGCGTTGCCGCTGTTTCCTTATCCTTGTCAAACGTTTGCTCCAATTTTCCTGTCGCTGTTAGTGTTTCTAATGCCCCAAATTGACGCCGAGATTCTTCTTTCATGAGAAGTTTTGTTTACAGACTCTAGGCCATAATAGTCTTCAGGGCGTTTGGGAGGGTTTGCCGGTTTAGCCGGTTTATAGGGTTGCTGCTGGAAGGATGTTCCTGCATGAGAAGTCGAGCTACCGGGCCCCTCGGATGTTAAGGGCCTCAAGATTTCAGAGTTTATGTCTTCATGGCTTTTCGTGGTTGAAAAGGTGTAGGTCAAGGCTTTGATCTGGGGTTCGGGTTTTGGCTTCAGGGTGGGGTTTGGTTCAGATTTCTTTGGCCTGGTTTGTTATGTAGGCTGTCGATTTGACGGGCAGCAAGCAACTGAGAGGCTGCGGGTGATACTAGTTAGAGGTTGATTGTCCCGTACTTGGAGACGTGGACGTGTGCCTGAAGAACACAGCAACTGACCGGTGCGAACCTGGCTGAAGCTCTCACAGGCTCTCACCGACACACAGGCTGTTCTCAGCTAGTAAAGCTAGATGCTCGTGTGGTGCAGCTGTGACGGAAGATGAACATGCTAACATGCATGAGTTGCATGAGCATAGCAACCGGAACCAAGAGTGTGGGCACGGTGCGTTTGTTTGTTATCTTTGGACGCTCTGCTAGCCTACTGGAGGGAGACGCGGTCCGTGAATTTACACTTTTAAGTAATCTGTTGTTGAAAGTAGTTTTAGGTCGCTTTTGCGCTTGGTGCAGAGATGGATTGTTGCATGAATGCGAAAATCAGGTGTAAATTGCTGGTGTTGAGGCGGCACGCCCTTACCTAGGCCCCTAGGCCCCCAGGCTACTCGAGAAGCAGTGCTCCGTGTCCTATTGGCTTCTGGGTTCGCGACATGCTGCACTCTCTTCCAACAACTGCAGCGTGTCTGTAACCTATTGCCCGCGTGATTGCAGATGGCACAAGTCCCAAATGGAGGCGTAGACCCGACAGCCCGAAACCCGAACCCTACTCAAACTTCGAACCCTACATGTACTAAAGCAAAGACCTATAGCCTACACAGCTCAAGACCCCGAATTGCATGAAGCCTTAGACCCAATAGTTTCACCAACATGCGAAGGCCCTGTATTGAAACTCCAATCCTAGACGCCCCAGAATGCCTAGAATATTCCAGACTCCGGCTCCGAAGCTCAAGCAATTCCTGCAACCCGAACTAAACCCAGCTAACGCAGCGCATGCAAAGCACGTTCAGCTGGTGGCCAAGGAGCTCTGGAATCCAAAGCAGCCGCCGGTGGCGGCTCGGCACAACAGCAGTAGCCTTATGGTTTCGGTTGTGGCGTTTGGGGGGTGACGTTCATTCGTGCCACCAGTCCTATTTACATGAATTTCGTTTTCTTCCAATCAGTAGCAATATGAGCTTATGACTGGTCCGTCAACGAATGACAGTGTGGGTGATGATGATGATGATGGTAATGGTGGTGATGATGATAATGATGTTGATGATGGTGATGATGATGATGAGAGTCGCTGTTGGTAGAAACGGCTTATGGTGTGCTGCTTTGTTTTTTTTCATTGTTGGTATTTATTATTTTTTTATTCTGGTCATCCTTACTATTATCAGAAATAGTAGTGGTGGTGGTGGTGGGGGTGGTAGTGTTAGTGTTAGTGATAGTGGTAGTAGTACATCCTGCCGGGAAGCTAGAACAATTCATTGAAGAGCAAACCTTGGTAATTTTGCAAACTTGGTCAGTCTTGGTGGGACAACCAAGATTGCCGGCGATCTTGCAATCTTGGTTATGTTGCCGCGCTTGCCCCACCCGGCCCAGTTGCTGGGCCCCCGCCAAGTGGGGCAAGTGGGGCAAGTGGGGCAAGATTCCAAGATGAGACGTAGTAGTAGTAGTAGTAGTAGTAGTAGTAGCAGCAGCAGCAGCAGCAGCAGCAGTAAAAGTAGCAGTAGCAGTAGC